TGAGTCCATTACAACCCTCAACACTGAAAACATTAAACCAACTCCCTCAATTTGATGAAACTGACCGAATGTTGACATATCTTTCAACGCTCATGAATGAAAATTCCAGCATATTTTACGATATTATCTTTACTTTAATTTTTTTTTGAAATCACTGATTCGGCTGTAGTAATTATTGAATTGTTCAAATCAAAATTCGATATTAGATTATAAATTGCTCGCTTAAGATCAGCAAAAATGTACGTTGAATTGGTGGGTAAGAAGAAATGCTTGTATGGATCTTCTGCATAATTCATCATGCACACAATGATCATGAGTATATTCGAGATGGTAAACGAAATAATTGTTGAAAGGAATCCTGCACGAGGCCAGAACATCGCCAACACAAATATGCCAACAAATGGACCCGATAAGGCACCCATAACGCTTATACACATCTAAATTTCAACATGGTGTGATAAACTGAGCAATAGAGTCGATTATTTGTGGCACATCTTACAATTTCAGAGAAGCTTTTTAGAGATGAACAACTTTTCAAATGTGTTTTTGATTGCCCCATGTTTTTTTTGGGAATTGTTGAACCTTGCCTTGTATTCAGCTTACTTGAAAAGATTAGTCTGAATACGGCTATTGTTAGCACTCATCAAATGTTTACCCGAAGAACTCCACCAAGTGGCTCGGCTGCGAACGCGAGACCGGTCGACAGCAGTCCATAGAATAGAACGAAACCCTGAAAGAATTATTATCGAATATGAAACACACAACATATCGTTTTTCAAACAGTGCCACTTCAAGGCCCCCTCATAAATGGGAGACCTTGAAGGTTGAAAATGATGGATGATCCAAGAAAATTTAGAAATGCTTTTTAGAAGTCTGTTCGACTAGTTGATGTTTACAAGTAAAAAATGGTCGTACTTTATTGATAGCTGTCGCTTGTGCATCACTAATTTTATGATCAATGCGATGCTTCAAAAAATCTTCATAAGTTGCCGCAGCCATACTGTTCATGCCGGACGATAGCGTGCTTAACGTTGCAGACATTATGCAAGAAACATATAGACCGAATAGGCCGGGTGTTGGAGCTTAAAATGTTAAAATCATTTTAATTCGGATCTGAGTTCATCGGAAGCTCACGAGCTCTGAATAAAATTGCCTGATTGTGAGCGATTTCCACTTCGCACAATGAGTAGATTCATTTCATTGATCAGCGAATGACTACACAAACAATAAAAGTTTGTATCCAAGTCAAAAATATA